AATTGGGATACCCTGATTTGGGATAACGAGACCGCGTGGTTACATTTGGATGTCCCCATAGTTCGTCGGGAGCATCCTGTTCTAGATTAGGAGGTCCCTATAGGCATCAGTTCATTCTCTGGAACAGGAGGCCCTGTTGTAGGGAAAGCAAGACCATTTTTCTAGGTACTCAGAAGGCCCTTTCCGTGTTTTTAATCGTTGGCATCGATTTACTTGTGTATGATACAGGTAACAAGTTGATAAAGGGAATGTTTTCTCGATGCCCCTCCTCTTGAATACGACACTGCCCAGGAGACCCCCTGTAGGAAGGCCCCATTTTGTTCCCCTATCCACACAACTGAAAATCCGTGGCGCGCCCCTTTGGCCCTTGTACATAAAATATTAATATAGGTTTTGGGCGGCACCGGATAAACGTGTTTCTGACCTTGTTTTGTTATCATGCCGCCTTGTGTGTTGACCGTGCCGGCGCAGTTCGCCGTAGCGTGGCTATGAGTGGCTGTTCGTGGAGCGTCGTTGGTCTCCGCTTCCAGGCAGCCAACGGCGGGTGCTTGCATGATGTCTCCGTTGGGAAACTGTCTGGGTCCGAACGAGGCCATATAAGTATCGGAATTGTTCTTCTCCGCGATCGTAAGGGGAGTCCGTATTGTATGGAACGCTGTCCCATTGCCTTTATTCGCAGCACGCCTGGCATTCGCAGTTGCTTGTTTGTTCGCCATAGAGAAACGCCGTAATTCATTGGCACATGCCTCTCAGAGTGTGGCCTGCCATCGGGCCGTGTATGCAGTCAGCTGCATTGAAAGCACCTACCAGCGTAGACATTCGGACTCATATGCTACAAGGTCTGGAAAATATCACGGCAAATCCAAATCAAGATGCATCTGTTTACCCTATTTCGCTCCCGGTTGTGAACGCGAGCAATTCATGTGATTTCACCAGTCACCCATGACGTTATATTGCTATCCCATGGTTGGCTGGTAATGCAACATCACAAACTCTTATGTTGTTGAACAACTGCATTCTTCAGACATAGCATCTTCTGACATCTTGCGACAGGCCAAGATTCGCTAGTACGCATTGGATGAGCGACGCCACGTCACACTCAGGTGACAGCTTCTTGTAATGGTTGTTGCTTGGCTCACAGCGCCTCCATTAGCCCCACTCCGTGACCGTCCTTCCTCCAAGTACGATGTACTTGACTGCCTTCTCGTTCAGAACTGAACAGCCGGCATGTTGAATGAAAGATCGCAGCAGTTTGATGCAGCTGAATGTTGCGTAGCTCCTCACAACTACCACGCAAATACTCACTACGGTCACATCACATTTTTCAGCTTCCACCTGCCCATCACACTATGGGCGACTGCCAAAGCTGCCGAGCACCTGCCCTTGCTTCCGCCGACCTTGAAAGCGACTCCCAGCGAAATGGAGCCCGTTGTGCATGGTCTTATGGCTCAACTTCCGCGGGCTGATTACCTCGAATTACCACCTAGTTTGTTACGAGCAATCTCAGCACGAATGCCATTGCTGGTGCTTGGCCATCAGCAGACGCCGTTTGAGGTGCGCAAACAGGCGCGCCTCCCCGAAACGACCTACATTAGGATTACCTCCGACACGGCAGACACCCCCGGGTGCCACACCCTGAAGGTCGTTCAAAGTACTTGACCCACAAACCGACTTTCAGCCGTGCATCCCAAGGACGGATGTCCCGTGACTCCGCCTGGCCCACTGGGACCGCGGAGCATAAACAGCCCAGAGGCGGATGTCCCGTGACTCCGCCTGGCCCACTGGGACCGCGGAGCATAAACAGCCCAGAGGCGGAGGTCCCTGACTCTGTCTAGCCCACTGGGACCGCGGAGCATAAACAGCCCAGAGGCGGATGTCCCGTGACTCCGCCTGGCCCACTGGGACCGCGGAGCATAAACAGCCCAGAGGCGGATGTCCCGTGACTCCGCCTGGCCCACTGGGACCGCGGAGCATAAACAGCCCAGAGGCGGATGTCCCGTGACTCCGCCTGGCCCACTGGGACCGCGGAGCATAAACAGCCCGAGGCGGATGTCCCGTGACTCCGCCTGGCCCACTGGGACCGCGGAGCATAAACAGCCCAGAGGCGGAGGTCCCTGACTCTGTCTAGCCCACTGGGACCGCGGAGCATAAACAGCCCAGAGGCGGAGGTCCCTGACTCTGTCTAGCCCACTGGGACTGCGGAGCATAACAGCCCAGAGGCGGAGTCCCTGACTCTGCTGCCCACTGGGACCGCGGAGCATAACAGCCCGAGGCGGAGGTCCCTGACTCTGCCTGCCCACTGGGACCGCGGAGCATAAACAGCCAGAGGCGGAGGTCCCTGACTCTGTCTAGCCCACTGGGACTGCGGAGCATTAACAGCCCAGAGGCGGAAGTCCCTGACTCCGCATGGCCCACTGGGACCGCGGAGCATAAACAGCCGGAGGCGGAGGTCCGTCCCCGACTCTGCCTGGCCCACTGGGACTGCGGAGCAATAAACGGTCCAGAGACGGATGGTCCCTGACTCTGCCTGGCCCACTGGGACCGCGGAGCACAAACAGCCCGGAGGCGGAGGGTCCCTGACTCCGCCTGGCTCAATGGGACTACGGAGCATTAACAGCCCGGAGGCGGAAGGTCCCTGACTCCGCTGGCTCACTGGACTACGGAGCATCGGAGCATAAGCAGCCCAGAGACAGAGGTCCCTGACTCCGCCTGGCTCACTGGGACTGCGGAGCATCGGAGCATAAACAGCCCAGAGGCGGAGGTCCCTGACTCCGCCTAGCCCACTGGGACTGCGGAGCATCGGAGCATAAACAGCCCAGAGGCGGGGGTCCCTGACTCCGCCTAGCCCACTGGGACTGCGGAACATCAAGCGAAAACTGTAACCGGGAGCTTGCCGCCTGAAACAAAAAAAAAAAACAAAAAAAAACGATGATTTTATGCATGTCACGGACGCAGCGTGGATCGTGACACCCATATCATTATTGACTCGCACTCAGCAAATTTTCTCCTATTTCGTACGGAAGTGTGCATGTAACCTTTCAATGTGAGCATGGCAAGCTGAATGATTCTCCTACTAACATCCCATTTAAGCCTGAGTTGCGTCAGAAGATCAGGCGAAACCTGTTCGGAGTCACAGTGCTCATTTACAAATCCACTTGGATCTCAAAACCCATCTGGGAAATTCGCTGGACAGTGGGAATTCGGAAATCCGTGTCCCAGCCACGTGATTGCTGGCACGAGCGGTGTACTGGGGAGCATCTCGCGGGGAACGACGCAAATCGCCTCAGACCGGTTTTGTCACTTGCCTTGGTACTTTCTAAGCCTCACTATCTCTTCATTGCTATCAACAAACGCCTCCTTTAGTTCTGTTGTCCATTTCTTCCCGCCACAGGCCTGGGCTTCATAATGGTTGGGAGATAGGGTATATGAAAGGGAGGCGGGCGGCGGTGGAAAGTGACCCTTTTTCAAATTTGTGCATGCATTGATATTTATGTTGGAAATACCGACAGCTAAAAAATTCGCGGAGACATGCCGACAGAAGTAGATATCGCACATTAAACGTGCGATGTTTTAGCACTACAAACGGTTTCAGTGAAATATTTTGCTTTGTGCTCGCCCATGGCGACATTTTGTAGGTGCCCTGATGGTGGAACACAACAGTTTTAAGTCGGTTGCCACTACACCACATCCATAGACGTTAGGCTAGCCATTCAGAAACACTGAAGATGGCTTCAACCCGCTCCAAATATACAGGAAAGTTCCACCCTTGCCACTTGAGGAATATCCACATGTTATATGAAAGCGTCCGGCTGCAAATGCAAACAAAAAGTGCAGCGTATGTTTCATTAACAGAAAACCCAGTTGTCAAACAAGTCTCTCCTTAAGAAAATTTAGATGTCATTGCCTGCTCCGAGAACAGCACCAGCATGACGGCCATACGTGGCTGTACTTTTCGTTGCTGTTTCGTTGACTTGCAAACTCTTTTGCACCGCCGCCGACACCATATGCAGGTTAACGTAATATCTGCTGACCGAGCCGGCCGAGAGTAGTCTTCCCTGGCTGGGCGGGAGGGTTCAGGTCCGCTCTGGTGGTAAGCAAAACATTGTTTGTCTGGCTTCTTCGCTGACGCGATCAGGCTGATCTCGATTCTGAGTCAAATCAGTACAAAAGAACTATGAGCTGATTCCGAATTTGACTTAGAAGGGCGCCACACAAATTTGAGTCTACTCCGATTTCCGTCCAACGATATTCTTGATATCTCTAATGCAGTAGTAGATTGGTCAAAGGCAGACACAACACTTTACGCATCCCATTATGATACGTGAAAAACCTTGCAAGGACATTTAGCTCGATAAAAAATGTCGAAATATTTAGCACACGACTTTCTGTCCATAAGTTCCGAATGTTAGAAAAAAACCTTTTTGATCTCGTTTGCATAAGAGAAGGTTCTATCACGTTCCCATTGAACACGTTGAGTCACTCGGACCCAAGTTTTTACGATGCCTGCCAAAATAAGTGATTCTGTCTTAACTGGATAAAATGTCGTTGATTCCGGAGTCAAGTCCAGGTCCACCGGAGTCATACTGAGCGGGCAACGGCCACGCCTGGTCGTACGCAAATTGCTCGGCGTCAGAATGGATCCACAATACTTTAAGTGTGATCGTGATGGCTGCAAACTGCCAGCGAACTCGCAACACTTCGCCGTAGTAACTGCTCAGCTTGCACGGATTTGCCATGTCTCCTCGCCTATGGCCGAGCTTTCGCCCGATTCACATGTGCCAGCCAGCATTGGAGGTTGTCAGGCGGCGGATCTTGGATCTTCTCCTCAGTCTAAGCCGCTGCTTTGCTATGCACCAGACCGCTGTTTCCTGAACGTCACAGGTTTTGCGGGACACCGCCGGCCGGGCTGGGCTGCGTGCTGGCTGCCGTTCTCCCGAGCCGGCGGCTGAATGCTGGCCCGTGAGACCCGGCCTGCCACGGCGCCGAGTGAAGCTGACACCTCAAAGCCAGAGCCCAGCGTCCCTGATGGCGGCCGCCGGCGCGGCCGACCTGTCGCCGCCGTCCGGCTTTCGCCCACCGAGCCCCGGCACCAGGGCAGCTCCGGATTCGCGGCAGGTCGGCACAGCGGCGGCGGTGGCGGCGGCGCGGCATGCGTGCCGGCAACAGCTCCCCGCGGCCTGTCCGTGGCGACGGAGCGCCTGACGGCCCGACGGGCGCATCAGAGCGGTGCAGACCGGCCAGGTCAGGCCGACGCGCTGCTCGCAGACACGCGCGGACCGGTCGGACAGCGCAGAGGCGTGCAGAGCGCCCCGCACCACACCGGCCATACTTGTGATGGGCAGACACGGCCGGGGTTGGGACGGGAATGGAGTCAAGCTGAAGGGACGAGGTGAGTGCCCGGTCGTGAAACCGGGCCAGCAGCGCGACGGGGCGGCGAGATAGTGTGCAAATGCTGCAGGGGCGAGCAGGGAGCACAGGGCGCCAGGCGTCTGCAGCAGTTGCTGTGCGGACACGTTTAAACAGTGACAGCTGAATTCTTAATAGACTGTGTTATCCTGCACGCGGCGCCGGACTCGTCTGGCTCTGAAATGTACATCGCCAATGGCATAAAACTGTTGATTATAACGACTAAGTATTTCGTCCTCATGAAGGATTTGGAGCACTGCTTCAGAGGCTTGTAAACTCCGCGGAATCGTCCAGATGACATCTCGAATTTGAATATACAT